GGGAAAAAAGGGGGGAAAAAGGCCAAAAAAGGGATTTCTCCCTCCTTGGGCTCGTCCTTGCTCCCGGGCTCCTCTCCTCCCTTTTCCCGGCTCCCCTCCTCCTCCCGCGTTGATTTTCCGCAGTTTGGGTTTTTCTCTCTGCATACAAATGGCCCCGAACCCCCGCCCCGCCCGCGCCTCTTTTATGGGTTTGGTTTTTTTTTTCCATATTTCTGATTTTTTTATTTCCCCCCCCCCCGCCTGTTGCCATGGAAACCTTCCCGGGCTGCGCTCCCCCTCCCGGGGGACAAACGGGGATAAATGGGGACAAACGGGGACAAACGGGGATAAATGGGGATAAATGGGGACAAATGGGGATAAATGGGGATAAACGGGGACAAACGGGGACAAATGGGGATAAATGGGGACAAATGGGGACAAATGGGGATAAACGGGGATAAATGGGGATAAATGGGGATAAACGGGGACAAACGGGGATAAACGGGGACAAACGGGGACAAATGGGGATAAATGGGGATAAACGGGGATAAATGGGGACAAACGGGGACAAACGGGGATAAACAGGGATAAATGGGGACAAATGGGGACAAACGGAGACAAACGGGGATAAACAGGGATAAATGAGGATAAATGGGGACAAATGGGGATAAATGGGGATAAACAGGGACAAATGGGGATAAACGGGGATAAACGGGGATAGACGGGGATAAATGGGGACAAACGGGGACAAACGGGGATAAACGGGGATAAATGGGGATAATCGGGGACAATCGGGGACAAATGGGTATAAACAGGGATAAACGGGGATAAATGGGGACAAACGGGGATAAACGGGGACAAATGGAGACAAATGGGGACAAATGGGGATAAATGGGGACAAATGGGGACAAACGGGGACAAACGGGACATGGGGACAAACGGGGACAGCCCCGGCACGGGGGGCAGGGGGGATTTGGGGACACTGGGGGGATTTGGGGGCACTCCCCGGGAGCACAAATCCCCCAGAGATCAATTGGCATTGGGGATTTGGGGATTTGGGGCTGGGAATCGGGGATTTAGGCCTGGGGATCAGGAATTCAGGGTTGGGAACCGGGAATTGGGGGATTGGGGATTTAGGGCTGAGAGTTTGGGGCTGGGAATGGGGGATTTAGGGTTGGGAATCGGGGATTTAGGCCTGGGGGTCAGGAAGCGGGGATCAGCTTTGGGGCTGCAGGTTGGTGGCAGCCCCGCCTGTCCCCAGGGCTCCGGGTGACCTTTCCCGCTGTCCCTGAGCCATTCCCGGGCTTTTATTCCCTTTTTTTATCTTTCCCTGCTCGCCTGCGGGGGTTGGATTTTCCTGTCGTCGCAGTGTGGAGAGGGGGGAGCGCTGAGCCCGGCCCTGTCCCTCTGTCCCTCTGTCCCTGTCCCTCTGTCCCTCTGTTCCTCTGTCCCTGTCCCTCTGTCCCCAGCTGGGAGCAGGACGCCAGGAGGGGCTGCAGGGTGACAAAAACCCCCAAAAATCTCATTTTCAACCCCAAAAGCCCCTCCCGGGGGACAGGGCCAGCCCAGAATCCCCAAATTCCCAAATTCCCAAATCCCACAGTTCCTGCCCCATTCCCGGCGCTGTCGGAGTCAATCTCCAGCCCCAATAAATTTCCCAATAAATTTCCCCATTTCCCCTGTCCTGCAGGGAAGATCTGATCAGCCTTTAAATGTCAGACGTAAAGGAAAGTTTGTCATAAAAGAGCGTGTAAAAAAAAAAAAAAAAATAAAAGGGGAAAAAAAATCCGGGAAAGGCAAATCCCGACCTGAGGCAGCCGGAGCTGAGCGGGGCCAGCGACCACAGCCCACCCCAAAAGGGCTCCCAGACCCCAAACCTGGGGAGGAACCCCAAATCCTGGGGAGGAACCCCAATTTCTGCTGTGAAACTCCCATTCTCAGGACCAGAACCCCCATTTCGGGATCAGAACCCCCATTTTGTGATCAGACCCCCATTCCCGGACCATACTCCCCATTCCCAGGAGTTCTGACTCCTTTTTGGGGCCGTTTCTGGCCATTTCCACAGCCCAGCTCTGCCGCTCCTCCCGTCCCCCCGCCGAACTCAAAACCCCCGAAGCCAAAACCCCCGAACCCAAAATCCCCGAAATTCCCCCGAACCCAAAACCCCCGAAACTCCCCCGAACCCAAAACCCCCGAAACAGCCCCGAACCCAAAATCCCCGAAATTCCCCCGAAGCCCCGCGGCTCCCCCGCCCTGTCTGGGCCCCGGTGCCGATGTCCCCGTGTCCCCCCCGAGCAGCGGCACCGATCGATGCCCGCGGCGCCCCCGCGGTGCCCGGGAGGGGTCGGGGTTTGGGGTCTCCCCCCCCGCCGGAGCCGGAGCCCCCCCAGCCGCGGCTCCTCGGCATTGATTTCCCGTTAAGGGCCGTTAATTATCGCCCGGCTTTAATTAATGGCCGTGACGGCAGCAGCGCCAGCAGAGAGAGAGCCGCGGCCGGGGGGGTGGCAGCGTCCCCAAGGGGGGTGACAGCACCTGGGGGGTGACAGTGTCCCCAAGGGGGGGGGGGGGGGGGTGACAGTGTCCCCAAAGCGGGGGGACAGCACCGGGGATGGCAGTGTCACCAAGGCGGAGGGGGGGGGGTGGCAGTGTCTCCAATGGGGGGGGACAGCACCGGGGGTGGCAGTGTCCCCGTGTGGGGTGACACAGGACAGGGGGGTGGCAGTACCCCCAAGGGGGGGGTGACAGTGTCCCCAAGGTGGGGGACACACCAACTGGGGGGGACATTGTGCCCTCCCTGCACCCGGTGGGGACAGGGGGGGGACACGGTGTCAGACACACACAGGTGTCACACACACAGGTGTCACACACACAGACAGGTGTCACACACATACACACAGGTGTCACACACACACACACAGACAGGTGTCACACACATACACACAGGTGTCACACACACACACACACACACACAGAGGTGTCACACACACACAGGTGTCACACACACACACAGGTGTCACACATACACACACACACACACACAGGTGTCACACACACACAGGTGTCACACACACACACAGGTGTCACACATACACACAGGTGTCACACACACACACACAGAGGTATCACACACAGAGGTGTCACACATACACACAGGTGTCACACACACACAGGTGTCACACACACACATGCACACACACACAGGTGTCACACACACACACACAGAGGTGTCACACACACACAGGTGTCACACACACACACAGGTGTCACACATACACACACACACACACACAGGTGTCACACACACACAGGTGTCACACACACACACAGGTGTCACACATACACACAGGTGTCACACACACACACACAGAGGTATCACACACAGAGGTGTCACACATACACACAGGTGTCACACACACACAGGTGTCACACACACACATGCACACACACACAGGTGTCACACACACACACACAGAGGTGTCACACACACACAGAGGTGTCACACACACACAGAGGTGTCACACACACACACACACACAGGTGTCACACACATACACACACACACACACGTGTCACACACACACAGGTGTCACACACACAGAGGTGTCACACACACACACACACACACACACACACACACACACACACACACACACACACACAGGTGTCACACACATACACACACACACACACGTGTCACACACACGCTCACGTGTCACGTGCTCTCCCCAGGTGCGCACACCTGCGCTCCCCCGTTTCCCCGCCAGAGGGCGCGCGCGTCATGACTCCGCCCACCCCGTTCCAGGCCCCGCCCCCTCCGCGCTCCTCCAAGTCCTCCAGTCCGGCAGGGGGCGCACTCCCATTCCCGGCCGCGCATGCGCACAGGGAGCGGCCGCGACCTGCCCGGCGGAGCCCGGTGAGAAGGGGGGGGACCGAGAGGGGGGCGGGACAGAGCGGGAGGGGACACCGAGACACCGAGAGGCCCGGGGACACCGAGGGCACCCCAGGTGTGCCCGACACCCCCGCGGCCCGTCTCGGCTCCGCTGCCCCACCGGGGCTGACACCTGCAGCGGCACCTCCGTCCCTGTCCCCACGGTGCCACCGCACCTGGGGGTGGGACGCACACCCGGGTGACAGCGGCACCTCCTGCCCCTCCCGTGTGTGCCCTGCGTGACCCCAGAGCCGGGGGCACCCCTGGGGCCGCAGCCCCCGAGCCTCAGTCCCGTGGATGGGGACAGGGGGACAGGGAGGACAGGGACAGACAGGGGGACAGGGACAGGGCGAATGGGGAGACAAAGAGGGACAGGGGGCTGGGGTGACAGGGGGGCTTTGAGGGGACAGGGGGCTCGGGGAGGACAGAGCTCTGGGCGGGGACATGGGACTGTGGGGTGACAGGGCTCTGTGAGGGGACAGGGACCGAGGTGGCCCTGAAGCAGCAGCTCTTCTCCTACGCCATCCTGAGCTTCGCCCTGTCCGAGGCCAAGGGGCTCTTCTGCCTCATGGTGGCCTTCCTCATTCTCTTCGCCATGTGACAGCGGGCGGTGACAGCGGGGACGGGCGGCAATAAACACAGTTCGGTGACAGTCGGAGCTGCTCGTGTCTCCTTGGTGGTCCTTGCAGTGTCACCGGTCTGCCAGCCCTGCCCCGGCTTTGGGGTGTCCCCGGTGCTGGGGGGACAGTGCCAGCCGTGTCCTCCTGGCTTTGGGGCGTGCCAGAGGCCCGGGCCTGGGATTCGGGGGGTGCCTGTGAGCCGGCGGTATCCCGGGTCTGTCCCGAGTCTGTCCCGGGTCTGTCCCGGCTATATCCCGGGTCTGTCCCCTCTCCCCACGTGTCGCGGTCCCCGCGGGGCCTCCCGGGCGGGGCCTATCACTGATCACGCCCACTGTGGTGTGGTAACCACGCCCCTTCGCCTCCTCGGCCCCGCCCCCGGCGCGTCCCATTGGCCGCCGCGCCGTTACCTCCGCGCGGGTCTCGCGAGAGCCTGGCGCGCGGGGCGGGGGGGGCGGCGGGAGCCCCAGCGCGAGCGGCGCCAGCGCGAGGACCCGGCCCGGCTCCCTCAGGTAACGGCGGCGCCGGCACGGCGGGAGCGGGGCCGTCCCGAGCGGTTCCGCGGCGGCGGCGGTGGCGCCGGGGCAGCTCCGGGGGCGGCGGGAGCCCCGGCCGGCCCCTCCCCCCACAACTCTCCCCGAGTTTTCGTGCGGCGGCGGCTCCGCCCGCCCCGCCCCCGCGCTGAGTGGCAGCGCCCCCCGGCCAATCGCATCGCGCGCCGCCCCTGAGCGGCGGGAGCAGTGGCCAATGACGGGCGAGGGGGGCGCCGCTATGTGGCCAAGCCCCGCCCCCGGGGAGGAGCCGAGGAGCAGCGAGGGGCCCGGGCGGTGCCGGGGGGAGCGCGGGGGCAGCCCTGGAATGGGGCTGGGGACTCAGGGCTGAGGGGAGCCCCGGAATTGGGGACCCCAAAGCTGGACTTGGTGCTCTGGGGTGGGGAGGGGTCTGCACCCCCGGATGTGCTGGGGGCTCAGGGGGGTGTGGAGGGGCTGTCAGGGGATGCAGGGGACCCGGGGGTCCATCCTCCCGGGGATGGGGAGGCGCTGCAGGAGCCCCTGGGCAGCGTTTGGGGAGCTGGGGTCGGTGCCTGTCCTGGCACTGGGGAAGGGAGCAGCAGGAGGGGCCCATGTCAGGAATTGGGGGTTGAGGAGTTTGTTCTCGTCGGGGAATTAAGGGCTGGACTGGGGGCTGGGGGCAGCGGGGCTCACCTGCACCTGCACCTGCACCTTCCCTGGCAGGTGGGAGAGGGCAGGGAGTGCCTGGCTCAGGTGTGAGCGCACAGACACACGCTGCTCAGGTGTGAGCACAGACACAGGCACTGCTCAGGTGTGAGCGCACAGACACACGCTGCTCAGGTGTGAGCACACATACAGACACTGCTCAGGTGTGAGCACACACACACAGACACTGCTCAGGTGTGAGCACACAGCTCATTCCTGCTCCGCTCTCCCCATCCTGCCCCTTCCTTTGCTGCTCTTTCCTCTCTGCCCCGCCGTCCCTTCGGAGCTGTTCCCTCTGTCCCTGTCTGGGTTATCCCTGTGGACAGCAGGAATTCCCGTTTATCCCTGTGGGGCTGGTCCCGAGGGGTTCCCCAGCTCTGGGCAGAGTGCTTCCCAAGGGTCTGTTCCTAAAGCAGCTCAGGGAAGGGTTTTGCTCCTGCTGCTCTGGGTTGGTTGGGGTTTCAGTGGGCAGTCACTCTCCCACAGGCCTGCCTGCTTTGGGAACCCAAAACCAGCTCTTTTCCTGTGGATTTGGGCACCCTGGTGGTCCTGAGCTGTGGGACACCCTGGTGAGCCCCGCTGGGTTGTGTCCACCAGGAATTCCAGCCTTTTCCCGGGATTTGTGTGTGTTTCCCTCATCCCTGGGATCTCTCAGACCAGGAGCAGGCTGCACACAAGCTCTGGGAATGCCACAGCTCCCTCTGAGATTCCTCTTTCGCGGGGCCCGGGGCCCGTCTCTGACGTGCGTTTCTGTTTTATTTCTGCTTTCTCGGGGTTCCTCATTCCCCTGGGCTCTCCCCGTTTCCTGGCAGGTCCCTGTGCTGTGCTGGGGCCCAGCTGCAGGTGCCAGGTGCTCCCAGGGGCACTGAGCACACCTGGGCAGGTGTGGCAGTGCCGTGGGATCCCTGGAGGGAGGCAGAGATGTGGCTAAGACACAATTCCAGCTCCTGATTCCTGTCTTGATTCCTGTCTATTCCGAAATCCCCGCGAGCCAGGCCCGAGGGTGGATTCCAGGGGTTTTGGGGATGGGAACCCCCCTGGCGTTGGGAAATGGGGAACTTGGAGAGAGGAAGCACCAGCGGGGCTGGGGGACAACAGGGCTGGGTTCAGTGCCCCTCCTGAGGAGGGGAATGTGCTGGGGAGCAACCCTGGGAGCTGCTTGTGAGCAGCATCCTGGGCTGGAACTGCTGGGGCTGGAACTGCTGGGGCTGCTCTGGATCTGCCCGGGCTCCCCAGGCCAGGCCCCGTGCCCACGTCTGGGTCTGTGTGTCAGGGAAGCAGCTCTGCCTTGCCTTTGGCTTTGGACTCGTTTCTGCTGTGTCCCACGTGATGCTGCTGTGCCTCTGTTTGGATTTATTTATCCTCGGACTTTCTTGGGGCCTTCTGTTTCTTTCCCTTTCTTTTTCTTTCCCCTTCTTTTTTGTTTCCCCTTCTTTTTCGTTTCTATTCCCATTCCTGGCACTGTGAATCAAGGCCAGATTTCCCAAACTGCTTTTTCCCCCCTCGTTCAGCACCAAGCTGTGCTGCAGCCAGGAAAGGTTGGAGCTGGTGAGGAATTCCCAAGGGATGCTCCCCATTCCTGTGCTTGTCCCTCACCTTTCCTTTGATTCCCCATTTGTTTGGCATCTCCCTGTCCCCAAAACCTGCCGGGATCCCTTTAGGGTGCTGGTGCTCCATCCCATAAGGCTTCACTTGGAGTTCTGGGAGCTCCTGTGGGGGAATGGGGGCTCTGCTGCCCACCAAAGCACAGCTCGAGCCATGGCTGCAGCGCCTGGGCTTGCTGCAGAGCCCTTTTCTGCAATCCCTTCTGCAGTCCCTCCTGCCTGGAGCATTTCTCTCTCCCCTCAGACTTTTAGGGCTCGTGCATCAAACAGCAGCACCCTAAAAGCCTCCAAAAGCTGAACAGAGGGAAGTGCCCAGGCGGGAGGGGATAATATCAGGTGGGGCAGAGTGTTTTGTGTCAGCGTGGGGGCTCCCTATGTGCCCTGGCTCCGTTATTTGGGTTCATGGCAGGGTTTTTATCCAGGTGCTCGTTCTCAGCCCTGACTTTGCTCTTCCCTTCAAACCATCCCCACACGTCGGCAGGGAAAATATGTTCCAGCTCAGCTCGGGGCTCTCATGCCTCGTTTGCAGCAGCTTTCATTGAAACAAGGGCTCTGAAGTGGTGAAATAATTTCAGGAAATGGGACTCCAGTTTCTGGGTCACTCAGGCATTTCCGAGGTAAAATACTGCTCTCTGCGAGGCCGTGTGGCTTTGCTGTAATTACCGGGCCGGGCAGGAGCAGCGGCTCTCCGAGGCCTCCCCTTCCTCCCCTAAAGCTGAATTATTTCCCTGCGCTGCCGTAGATCTCAGCAGCGCCGAGATGGATCGCCCGGCGCCGAGGCCACCCCGATCCTGCCCGGGAAATCAAATCGCTGCTCGGGGAGGAAACATTCTCCTGCAGCAACCGGGGCCTGGGGTGTGCTTTGTGCCAGGGTCAGGCACGGGTCGTGCCCTGGGGGCGGGCAGAGCTCTGGGTCTCACGGGGCTGGGAGGTCCCTGGGGCGGCTCGGAGCTCCTGGGGGACACTCGGAGCTCCCAGAGGTGTCTTGGAGCTCCCGGAGGTGGCTCAGAGGTCCCGGAGGTGGCTCGGAGCTCCTGGGGGATACTCGGAGCTCCCAGAGGTGCCTTGGAGCTGCCAGAGGTGGCTCAGAGGTCCTGGAGGTGGCTCGGAGCTCCTGGGGGACACTCGGAGCTCCCAGAGGTGGCTGGGAGCTCCTGGAGGTGGCTTGGAGTTTCTGGAGGTGGCTTGGAGCTCTGGAGGCAGCTCCAGGCCCCTGGAGGTGTCTCAGAGCCCCTGGAGGTGGCGCGGAGCTCCTGGGGGACACTCAGAGCTCCCAAAGGCAGCTCGGAGCTCTGGAGGCTGCCACAAGCTCCTCGGGACCACTCGGAGCTCCCAGGAACCACTGGGAGCCAGCAGCTGCCCCCAAACAGGGCCCAGACGCTCCCAGTCCCTGTCCAGGTGCCCTGGGCGAGGCCAGGGTCGGTGTCTGGCTCTGCTCTGTGGGGACAGGACGGTGACAATGGCCCAGGAGCCTCTGCAGCCCCTCTGCTCCCAGAGAGCTCCGGGACCCTCTGTGGGCTCACCTGAGGGCCAGGTGAGCGGCTCTGACAGCAATGGTGCCGCTCCAAAGCTGTCCTAAGGCACTTGCCAGCAAGAAATGAGGGTTTGCACATCTCTGACGCCCTGGGGCGATGGGGTTTGGCTTTTTGGGCATCCTCTCCGAGCCCGAACACCCAGAAAGGCCCAGCCCCAGGGAGCTGCTGGGACTTGGCTGAGGTTTCTGGTTAAACTCCCTGTGGCTGGGGGGGATTTGTTTCCAGCGAATTCCCTGCCAATATTCCAGTTTATACAGTTGGGTTTGCTTTGCTTTGTCAAGCCCACGAAGCGCGAGGGTGTTGTGCCTCCAGAGCAGGTTTTATAGCCCGGGCTCTTGGCCTCCTTTCCCACACGACAATTTTAAGCTCTCGCAGCTTTTTGGTTACAAAGCAAACACTCTCCCTCCTTCCCTCACACCCCGAAATAGCTTGAGAGTCGCAGTTTGGGCCCAAGAGCCGCCCTGGGGGGGCCTCTCCCTGCAAAACTGAAAGTCTTTCGCAATTTCCATGGGTGGATCCGGGCGGGGAGAGGCAGGGAGGGCTGCGGGCACCCCGAGGGGCAGGAGCAGCCCTGGCCGGGTGCGGGCAGGGGCAGGAGCAGCCCTGGGCCCGGTGTGTGGAGCTCGGGATTGCTCTGAGGGGAAGGAGCAGCCCTGGGCCCGGTGTGTGGAACTCGGGATTGTTCTGAGGGGAAGGAGCAGCCCTGGGCCCGATGTGTGGAACTCGGGATTGCTCTGAGGGGAAGGAGCAGCCCTGGGCCTGATGTGTGGAACTCGGGATTGCTCTGAGGGGAAGGAGCAGCCCTGGGCCCGATGTGTGGAACTCGGGATTGCTCTGAGGGCAGGAGCAGCCCTGGGCCCGGTGTGTGGAACTCGGGATTGTTCTGAGGGGAAGGAGCAGCCCTGGGCCCGATGTGTGGAACTCGGGATTGCTCTGAGGGGAAGGAGCAGCCCTGGGCCTGATGTGTGGAACTCGGGATTGCTCTGAGGGGAAGGAGCAGCCCTGGGCCCGGTGTGTGGAACTCGGGATTGCTCGGATCGTTCTGAGGGGCAGGAGCAGCCCTGGCCGGGTGTGTGCAGATTGCTCTGAGGGACGGGATCAACCCTGGGCCCGATGTGTGCAGATTGCTCTGAGGGGAAGGGGCAGCCCTGGCCCG